ACCTATTTTTTTGTATATAAGTATTATTTTATACGTATGTAACAACAATGTGAGTCACCTGCATCCTTGTCACGACCTGCCGTAACGTTAATCGATTTTAATGTCGATCAACATTAAGTTTAACATAATCTGTATTTTATACCTTTTTTTTTAATTACTCAAGCGTCGGTTTTAATTTTACGGATTAAAATCAAATAGCTGAATACAAAGTAACTCAATCACTATTGGATATAAATCGAGGCAGTTCCAAAAATAATCACATCAACAAACAAATTCCGATACATTTCACACGTCATTGAAGCCCACTTTGGTTTTCGTTGATTGTTTCACGAAACCACTTGAGTACGTGATTGATGATCAGCAAGTTCACGCGGCTATCGACCCACTTCCTGTACTCTTAGGGATGCTATTCCCATCCATTATTTTAGTGAACGCATATAATATGTTTCGCCAGGGTTTATATGAATCATAATTCTCATTTGCGCCGTATTTTTCCATACAAACGTTATGTCTTTTTTATTTTATACGAATTGCAAGTTTTTATTGAATAATTTAACATATATTTAGTTATTCCTGGGACAATTAGCAGTGTTTGTCATATACACTTTTTTAAGTCTTATTGTAGTTTAAAATACATTCGATTGTATATTCGTTGATCGTTATATTAATAAAGTTATCCTTTGTATAAGAAAACATAGCATATAATTATTTTAAAACATATTATTTACTTCAAATTTTATGTTATTTACTACACTTATACAGTACTTTATGGTACTTGGTACAGCAACAAGTTTTTTCTAAAAGAATCCAATTTATTAGTAGTGAAACTGATTATATTTTAATTGAACATCTCTAGGAGTTAAAAATTCTTACATGAAGCGTCTATCTATATATGTATTTATAAATAAAAATAATAACAAATCAATTTGTATTAACATGCATCATACAATTTTGTTAAGGTTTCGCAATGAAGCACATTCCAATGCAGACAAATGGGTCGATATATTTCAGATTAAATTTTCCTTTATTTTTAATATAAAATGTTTCTTTGAAATGAAATTACATATTTCAATAAATATATGCGAATGTGTGTGATTTTGTGCATGTGTATTTATATAAAATAAAGCAAATATCATTGGCATTGAATTTATTGGGATAAAAAATTGTTTGTGTAATTATTTTGGTAAATAAATATAAACAGACATCTTTAAATTATAGCTGAAATATGCATTCAATTTTTCCACACCCACCGTTGTGTTATAGAAAAAAATATTCATATACTCTTTGCCCTCAATTTGTTTAAATTCAATGCACTGTACAAAACAAGTCAGTGGTGGCCTAGTGGTTAAAGGGCCCGCCTCTCTTGCATGAAGGCGCGGGTTCGATCCTGGCCCGGGCGAATACCAATGTGATTTTTCCGAGTCATATGTACTTTCTAAGAGTATTTAGACATCACTGATTAATGTTGATTCCCAAAGAGGGATGATGTCAGGCAGGCGGCCGGTCGTAAAAACTATTAGCCAAAACTATTAACAAACATGTAAGGCAGACCCTGGCTAAAGCTGGGAAATTGCCAGGTAGAAGAAGAATATACCCACATCAGAAACAAGAATGTAGAATTATCCTGGTTTAATTTTTCATACAACCATAAGGAGCCTTTTATTGAGCTTCTCATTTTTAATATATTATTTGTACACACTCAGTCCCAACGGATGTTGGCTATTAATAAGTTGTTTATGGTAACCGTGTAAAGAGGAAAATATTGTAATAAAATTATATTACAAAGTGACCTTTACAGACGTCCAGCACGAAGTATGGAATTTAATAATCCTGTTAATAAAAACGCGTTACCAAAGCTACTTTAATATATGAACAATTAGCAATCGATTTTTGTATAACCACTAGTTTGCATCGTCCAAATAAATACGAACATTTTTCAGTATTTCATTTATAAGTCTTTGTATATGATCGTATTAACGTTGGCATATTAATGAGAAACGCGAAACTATCGGTTATTCGTTTCATTCAAACTCGTCTTAAGGTACAAATATATTTTTTATTGAGTTTTTATATATATTATATTCTAATAATAATCTATTGTACATATGAATATCAAAAATTCATCTATATATGTTTATGTATCCAAACAATCCAAGTTCCCGCCATTTCAGTAACAAATATGGCGGGTTCGTTGGCAGCTATTTTCGCGCCTCATTTGTTTGATAAACACAGACACAGTTCCTGAGCGTTCCTGAATGTCGGTACTTGGCAAACATTTCCTTTTCATTATTATAATAACATCTTTGTCTTTGATCATATTAATATAACTCGTACATATTATTTATTTATTTTTTTTTATATAAAACTACTAAAATGTATAGTAACCTCCACGGAGGTTTCAATTAATATTTTGTTTAAGGAAAACACTGCGCTATATTTATCAACCGGATAGGATAAGATCTTCACGTTAAATTCCACGTCAGAGTTTAAATGTCTTTTGATCATGCAACTCCCAGGACGTCCGTTGACTTTCTAGAAATAGAATACGTATTTATATTACGCGTTTAATATCATGATATATTGATATTGTAATCACAGCGAGAAGATCAGGTTTTGAGACCATTTAAACTCGATGGAAATCGCATAGACTTTAATATTCATGCATACGATGTATATAAATAAAATTTCATTCAGAAAAATAAACGGATGGATGAAAAAAAGATACGCGGACTCAGTGGCATATTAATACCAACCTGATTATTATGTCACGAACCCGTTCTATAAAAAAATGTATAACCATCTTGCGATTATTTCCCACACTGCAAATAAAAGATTCACCGCAAAAGTCCGTATTCAGAACAGAAATCCTGTGCAGGTGCGTTGTTATAAACATTGTAAATAGCATCACGCTGTATTGTAAATTATTTCATATGACATAAAGATTATTATTGCTTGAACATTTAATTTGTATGTTATCATCTGTCAGGGCTGTCGGGTGCATCTGGGATACGTGTGTACAATTGAACAGAAACCTTTATGTAGTTTAACGGGATTTTTTCATATAATGATCGTATTCTTATTACACTGAACCATCCAAGTAATTTCAAAAACAACTATGAATGTATCAACCATATAACTAGTTGTGGTTACGACTCCGCCCGCGTATTTCTGTTCATTTTTTATTTTTACAGAAGCAATATATGCAGTAGCCTTAGTTATTTATTATCGCAGCTTCTGCCTCTGGAAGTGCCTTCAAAATCGGTCGTACTATTTTATTACTGTTTTATTTAAAGAGCCAGGACAATTCTATTTTATATATACATATTACATATATAATGTATTGCTATTTTTCAAGTTTTTTTTAATTTTTTGATCATAGTGTTCAGTATATACTCTTCGATATGTATAATAATTAGGATATTAGATATCATCTTATATGATTAACGTAGTCCTTATGTTCCAGTAATAGAGTTTATATTTGAATAGAATATTTACAACATATGATTTATATCCGTAGGTCGATAGTGGATTTGTTTTTGATGAAAATCATGTTATTCGTTGTACGGTTCAAAGGATACAAAGCTAAAGACGCCACTATCTACCAGGTGTGAGATTTGAAATAACTTTAGGGTTCAGCGAGGAAATTAAAAAAACTCTAATACTATTTTTGTTTTTAATATTAAAGGTTCCTGTTTTCTAAATATACATAAGATTTTTACAAAATAACGCCTGTTACAGCCAACTTATACAAATTTTACTTTTACGTACTTATTATTTGAATTTTAAATGATAAAATAGAATCATATGAAAAATAATTTTGACTGATATTTAAAGGATATTTTATTGAGATGCTTTTTCCAACTCAATTTCGAATCATAAAATTAGTATTACATATAATCACAAATCGTTTCTCATTGAAGTTGTGATATAAGGTGTCTTAGTGAAAAGAGTATTGTCCGGAACCCATGTGTTGTAATATATTTTTTTTTTTCTTATATAACGGTAACAAACAACCTAACGCAGGTAGATTCGTCCTCACAGCCGTCGCCAGGAACCTTTATACGTTACTACAATAATTTTATATTTCTCATATTATTAATCCTCATATAAGTTACATTACTCTTTTTCCTGAACGCTGAATTTGGAAATATTGCGTTCTATATTAAGAGATATCTGCTAAAACTTTGTAGCAATATATCTATTAGGATACGTGATAAATAAAAATTCCATTATTAAAATAAAATTTTAACTATAAACTTTTGGAAGGGTACTTAAAATATTGGTCAACGTTAACACTACTTAAAAACCAATTAAATTTGGGAATACAACTTTAAAAAAATTGCCAGCTTTAGTCGCGTGGCCAACAATGTGACAGCAGAGCTTACACTCTCACAGACAGAACTGTAATTAAGCCAAGACTATAAAACACAATGCTCTAAGAAACCATTGTTTAAAATTAAAAGCAAAAGTTTCTTTCGCGGCGTCCCGTCTAAATGTAAGAAGAATAAGAATGAAAAAAATGTGAAGAAATCAACACAAAAGAAATCACAATTTGTCCAACAACGGGGAGATGGTTTAAATAATGAAATATCCTAACTGTTACAGATTGGGACAACTATTATGTATTTGTTGTTAAGTTTTATATAAGCTGTTTGTTTTGCTTTCACTTATTATTTTTCGAAATTCTTTGAAGTGACAGACTAGTATCAGTGCTAGTCCCTACTAATATTATAAATGCGAAAGTAACTCTGTCTGTCTGTTACGCTTTCACGATTAAACCACTGAACTGATTTTAATGAAATTTGGTACAGAGATAGGGTTGAACTTGAGAAAGAACATAGGATAGTTTTTATCCCAGACTTAAAAGGTTCTCTTGGAAACGTGATATAACCGAACTCCACGCGGGCGAAGCTGCGGGCGGAAAGCTAGTATAATATAAAAAGATATCTTAAGATGTGTGCTTCTTTCCGTGAGCTCAAAGATGAGTTTAATATTGCATTATGACAGCAACACGAGAGAATCTAGCCAAGTCTACCGTCAAGGTAATGTGTCACTCACAATTTTTATATGGTTAGCAGACATTTACTTATCTAAAACAGTATCTTCAAATTTAAATAAAACTATTATTTTTCGGATAGGCTTTATATTAGTAAAAAGACTACATACTCCAAACGTTTCGGCTACTTTTCAGCAACCTTGATCACGGGCAGACGAGATATGAAAGTCTGGCTAGGCTTAGATCTCAGAATCTTCAGATGTATTTAAAAGTCTGTTATTTTTCATATAAATTAATTGATTATACTTATACTTTCATAATATTTATTAAAACCTAATCTCCGAACACTATACAATATAGTCGCTATATCCACTGTATACAGTAGATCTATTGTAGAATAAATATAGTAGCCCTATGAAGTCAATTGGGCGTGAGTAACCGCGCTTTAATAAGGATGCGTCCATTGTAAGAGTGTTTTAGTCCAATTAATGTTTACTTGTAATCGGATCATTAGTGTGTGGGGCAAACATTTGTCACTTGTGATTATATAAACATTTGAACTGAATATATCATTAAAAATCCTAATATTAGAACTGAGACTTTCGCCAATATTCATTTAAATGAAACTAATATTTTTTCGAATGAAACTACGTGTATTTTTTATTGTAAAAACTACAAATTCTCTATATAAAAAAATTAACTACAATAAAAAAATTAATTACAAATTTTCTACAAAGTATGCCCGTGATCACGGTTGGTGAAGACTGAAGAGTAACCGAAACGTCGGGAGTATGTAGTTTTTACAATAATGTAATCCGAAAATATTAGTTTCATTTATATCCTTGTATGTTCAAACATAAAAAATGTTTATTATAACTATATAAACTCAATTGGTACATAATTTCGGAACAATCGGCTTAGGTAGACAAATTGTGTTATGCCCTTGACGAGCTAATGCGCTGACCAAAATATATTAATATTTGACCCAAAATAACGGTAAAGATGAATCGCTTTATATATCGTCTTAATAAAGTTAAATGGAAATCAAATTGTTTCTTAATAACATTGTACGACAGTAGGTTAAGCGGTTATTAAACGTGACTGACAAAACAGAAGATTTATATTAAAAATGACATTCACATATTTTGTATTTGGGAATATAATTTTTATGAATTCCTATTAAAATACTTAATTGTATCCTTTAATTCAGGGGTGTCCAAACTAAATGGGACCGAGGGCCAATAAAATTGATTAAATACATTGGTGGGCCGCAAAATATTTATAAAAATAAAATGCTCGTAATAATAATATCGTAATTTTATTAACTACTTTTCCATTAATTTGTCTTTTATAATTTTGTCAATATCAACCTCAATATTAGTAGTAGCTAGGCGCAGTGCATGTTTAAGTAAAGTATCTGTCATTGAAGACCTGTATTTCGATTTAATTAGCTTCATTGTCGAATATGCACTCTCACAAAGGTAGGTACTGCCCATCATCGGGTCCATTTTTTGCCCGAAATTCGCCAGTTTCGGGAAACGTTCAGCGATGAGCTTAAAAAAATATATCCCTGTTTCTGTTCTGACCTTGGAAAAGGGGTCTTATTGCAGATCACACAGTTCTAGTTGATAATCAATCTTCATAGTCTCAACTGCAATCGTCAATAGATTAGTGAAGAGTGCTATATCACTCTACATTTTTTGAAAATCTGCAAAACGTCGCTCGAATTCGACGATTATTTCGTCTATGTATTTGAGGCTGTCTAAAAAAATGATGTGTGCGACGTGATCGAACATACCCTTTAAAAAATTTGAATTTCATCGCGATAAAAATAATTTTGCTCATTGATGTTTTAAAACAAAGAATATATAAAAAAGATCCTGCGGGCCGCAATAATCTGAACCGGGGGCCGCACGCGGCCCGCGGGCCATGGCTTGGACAGCCCTGCTTTAATTAATAGAATTGCATCGTTTAAAAGCCTATTCTCGTTTATATTGTTTTTTTTTTTTTGCTTAATTTTAAAGAATAAATTTCTGTCGTACAAATGGTCCATTAAAACATGTCCCTATTTAGGATGTGAAGTTTCTTGTATCACAACAATTATATATTAAGTATCAAAAAGTATTGGGATTATAATTTTTACGAGACTAAGAAATAATTATTATAACATAGAGTACCTTTTAATACTGATTTTCTAGTGTTGTTTATCCATTGTAATCTTTTTCTTGTAGACACGATTTTTTCCATTGAGTATTTCTGTTAGCTCTCAGATAACGTCAAAGAGACAGTAAATAATTAATTTGTATTTGCATATAAAAAGTAAATAAATATTTATAGAAGATCGATTAGGTAATTATGAATAAACGACTTTAATAATGAGGAGATAAGTTACATAAGAAATATAAATATATATAGAAAAATATATTGTATAAAAAATTTTATACCTACAATTTATACTTATAAGCACTATATAATACCTTGTTTAGTTTTAAATTGTGGATAGAAATATGTATAGTGAAGTTATTGAATCATTACTTCTTTCAATAGGTATATAGTTTTTATAGAACCCTTAGCATGAGTTTAAATCGACACAACACACGAAGAGTTTCCCGTTTCTCATCAACCTACGTTAATAGTAAAGTTAATTTATAAAATAAAAACTTGATACGTTCTGTTTGTAGTGAACGATGAAAACTTGTGGTAAGCGTAATATAGAGGTATTTATAAAATTCGTATATTTCTTTGAGACGTTTTTAAGAACGGTCTGCAATTCATAATAATTATTGTCTATTTACAGGTTCAATAACTATACTTGAACTTAAGCAATAAAATAATACTCAAATTAAAACAGAAAATAGTGAAATTATATATACGCCAAATAATTATTCTTAATTATTTTCCACTAGTTTTTGCCCGCGACTTCGTCCGCGTTAATTTCATGATTAGATTAGTAATATATGTATAGCTGACCGGTCGAACTCTATTCCGTCCTAGAGGCCATAAATAATCAGGTTTTTCCTGTTTCAATCGAACAGAATGATTGACATATTAGTTAGTTGTCAAATCTAATGTCAAACAAAACATTTGTATGGGAAATAGAAAAGGGCTATTTTTAGGGTTTTCCCGGAAATGAATCAATTTTTCTCACCTTTTATACCTTCCCTGGACCTCCACGAACATTTCAAGACTAAGATAAGATAAATCCGTTCAGTTGTTCTCGAGTTTTAGCGAGACTAAGGAACAGCAATCCATTTTTATATATATAGAAGATTACCGACGCGTCTAAGTTGTCTTTACTAACCAATGTGATGAAAATGTAAGAAGTTAATTAAAATGGACTATGAAATAAAATGAGAGAAACAGTTTCAGCTTTTTGGAAATGTTTTTTTTTCGCTTTCGCTTCACATTTTCCTTATGTAACACTGAACTGGTTTCATTCTTTTGTTTGCAATTTTGTAAACAAGATAGAGTCTAAAACATTTCTTTATATAAAATATAGGAAAGTGCCAAAAAATTGTCATTTTAATAACAATGTTACTATATTTTCCACCAACTCGTCCTACTTATACAAACCCTTTTTTTTATTCGGCATTAGTTTTTAAAACGTATCTTAAATATTCCCTTTCGAATGAAAAATTAGACTTATAAGTTATAAAATAATTATTTTCAAGCAATATCTGATTTTAATGTTACAAAAAATCCTGTCATACAATCTCTGAAGTAAAATTTAACATTTTAAGTATTAAATGTGTAAGTATTTGTTTTCGTTCTGGTGTTTAACAATGATGTTTTAACATATAGGTCAGTAGTATAGGGGTCTCTCAGATACATTGATAGTGTTGAGTGTGATGAGGGCTTTTTATTCAAATTTTATTTTGATTCATCGATAATCATGTAAACAAACTGCATTAAGTAACAGAGACGTGCTGTGATTTATAGTAGAGATTATTTTGTTATAGGGCTGTTAAAGCAAATATTTGTGTAAAAAAAATACTCCATATAATATATGAGAAAGGCTGTATTTGGTTGTGGTGAAACTTTTAAGTCCATATAAGCGATCCGCACTATTGTTTATGCTTGTAATACAAACATTATCGGAGAATAAATATACATATATATATAAATACATATATATGTAGGTATGTTATCATAAGTAACTTCTAAACAATTATGATTTATATAAAATAACTTGTTGTGCATATTTCAAGGTAATTAATATGAATGAATAAACAGGATGATATAATATTTCTTTATTACTAGTCTCAAAACAAATATGTATAATATAATAATACATAGTACCTACGACCTATGAAAGTCAGAAATCAGAATTATGTATTATTTCTATTTCGTATACAATTTGTATCATTGTATTTAAAAATAACTTTGTATAATAAAGAAAGAATATTTTAGAAACGATTATTTATAAGAAGTTTTTAAAAATATGATTACATATCATATATTTATGATATTATATTAGAATAAAAAACCAATGTTAATGACATTCGTCTGGGCTACGGTGACCGCTTAAAATAATACTGATCATATGCTTGTTTACTTGTGAAAAACTTAATACTATGTAACATTGAAATTGAAACGATATACTAAGGATCTTAAAAACGTGGAAAAATAAAACTTGTACGTCAAAAATAGAAAAGATATCACATTTTATATAACAAACAATATATTTTAGTACCGTCTAAAGAAAATTTATTGATTATATCACCATGACCTAGAACAAACAGTTTTGGCAAGTGATACCGTCTTATGACACAAGTGTAGAGAAAAATATAGTAGGAACTAATGTAAGGAAAAATCTTGGTACCATTGGGGACATCTGATTTACTTACACTTTTCTTATTTTTTTATAGTATACTAGTCATCCATAAAAAGGGATAAAACATTTTTAATTCGATTTGTAATATACATATGTATAATTCCATAATCTAAGAGAGCTTAACAATGCATGCGATACTGAGTCAGCTCATGATGTCATTGTATTGAAACATCTAAATAATATTTTACTACAAAAACTATGTTTAAATCGTCGGTTAACAGTACACTGATTTATGGTTGGTTTTATAGCGGAAGTTATAAGTGTCACTCACGTTACTTAAAGTGTAACACTTAGTAGAGGTAGTCTTATCACATGAACTGTAAGGAATGGAGACGGTACTCCGTTGTACTGCTGTTTATAGTTTACAGACCTTGAGTTGTGAAATAACTTCTATATGGCAAATTCTAGATGTAAATGTGGCTTATCAATTTCTTTTTGCGATGTTTTAAATTTTGTATAAAATTTCAAAGGTCTTTGTACCCAATAAAAATAGACGCCTGGAAGCTTAGAACATAAACAGGATATATTTTATAATAATAATCGTCGTTTTATTCATAAGAAAACTCATAATTCGTTATTAATTTCTTATATACAAGCTAAATATAATTTTAATATAACACCAAACTAATGGTTATTGGTATTGAAAGGTTAAATCTTCATAATCGTAATAAAGTTATCCTAAATTTATAATCAAAAACAGATGCACAAAAACGTATAGCGATTGTTAGGCAGGTAGGAGGACGAGATAATACGTTGACGTCAGAGGCTCTAGCGAGTAGCGACACGCGATGTACAGCCTAAGGGGATTAAGAACAGATAGACGCCAGCTCGTACTGCGGTCGCGTGCTGTGCGACAAGCACCTCGGGGTATACGGTTTAGATTCGCAGATCGACAGCCGCAAATCCAATGACGACAGTCTGAATCAGCGAGCTTACGTATTATCTACCCCCGTAGAGTGGAGACGTAGCGTCAACCCGCTCCGGCTACGGCAGTGTCGTCCGCACCACGCTAGCGAGCGCACGTGTTCCAATAAAGCGCATAATAAAGACGTCAACAAATACGTTACGAGCTCGTTCGGAACTTAGACCAGATACTAATGCGTATAGCTTTCACTTGTTATGATCGTCGCGTCCAATACACGGTTATATACGAATGTAGTATGAAAGTAACGGATGTTCTGTGAAGTGTCCTGAAACGGTGATGAAGTTTCGTGCCGGGGTGGTAGGCAGCCGTCAAAATTAACTCCTCTAGTGAGATCGAGGTGCGAGCGGCGTTGCCCGGGGGGGCGCGTCGCCGCAGATTCGTGAAGGGCTGGAAGAAAACCATGGGGGTCATATCGAAGACTTTCGGTGTCGTTTTCAGCCTGTAAGTTACATACATTATTCACTCACACAATTATTACATACGTCGTTGTTATATCCTACTTTCTTTTCCTCTAATTAATATTAGAGAGGCATACGTAGAATACCAAAAGTTGTTTCATATCACGGCAATTTATCACCGCTGTAGTGTAAGTAGACAGAGGTGTAATAAAGGCGTATTATCTGAGGCGGGTTGCGCAAGCGCATCGTTCGCACGGAGATGTGCTTTCGCTCGTCTAAGCGAGTCTTCCTCGTGTTGTGGCTCGATCACTCTCACACACTCTACGTATTTTATTACGCAGAAATTGCGACACGACAATTATAAATAATATGAACATTGTTTTCATTATTCTCATTAATTTATTGTTGTTAAGTGATGTCATGTTATGAAGGTATATTTATATTTTATTAAGTACATAATTTCATAATTTCCTAGGTTTTATAATATCGTTATTTTAATCCGTGGCTTTCAGGCTAAACTTAAAATTACGTTTTTGTTTTACAAGTTAAAGTATTTCTTTAAAACAAATCCATGTTAGATATACCAGAGGTAATGTAAATATTTCATAATTCTCTCAATAAAAATTACAAAATTTCCAAATTTCCTCGTAGAAGCCTCTATGTTATTATTTTTTTTTATGTATTTAATAAATCTTTGAATGCTGGAATCATTATGTTATAATTTTAGAATGTCTCGCCGCTAGGTCGAATGGAATTAATAATATATATAAAAACTATTCATATTGCGAGCACTTCGTTATAACAATGAATGTGAACTCAATTTACTTCTTTATAATATATAATTATGTTTTGTTGTCGTGTAATATAAAAAAAACAAGTAAATTGGATTGTGCTTTTGATCTAATTCCTATTACCTATTTAATATTTAATATTATATATTATTTTTTGTGTTTTCATATGTATTACCATTTAATATCACGCTAGCTCTCTTTATTACCGACGTGGTCACGACCTCTCGTTTGATTTTTAAATAAATCTCTCCCCGTTATTTGGATCGGGTCAGCTATTTATATTTTAATGTCAAGTTATACTAAGAAGTGTTCTGTATGTATTGTGTCTATCATCAATAACTTGCTCCATAATTATATGGAACAATTGGACTAAGAATCATTTAAATCGAGTCGAAAATATTATTCAATAAACGTAAATGAATTTTTTAATTAATGTTGTCTGATTAAAAAATAACACGTTGGTCAAAGCGAAAATTAAAGGTACGTATCTAGAAAGGCGGTTACCGACAAAAGAGTTCTCAACACAAAACAGGAAAGTAGTAAAAGATTAGAACGGACATTTAATTCTGACCTGGCTGAGTACTAGCGTTGGCCCCCAAACGCAGTGGCTTGGAAAATAAAACAATTGATGTACATATGCTTTGTATAGAACTTTGTATGAAAGAACATATTTTGTATTGAAACGAATGTCATTTAGCTGATAATAATCATTATCTGAAAAGCTATTGTACATCCATTAGAAGTATGAATCTGTGTGCATATGATAACAAATGTATTTTGTCTAGTAAAAATTACTAATCAAATACAAAGGATATTAAATGTTATCTTTGAGGGGAGAAAGGTCATATTAGCGAACGTTCGTCCGAAATGATTAGATAAAATACAGTACACGACAAATGTTTGTCATCTATAAAGGGAAAGTGATAGGAAAAATATGTTCTATGGACTTGAATTAATGCATAAATTAGGTTACAAGAATAGTAAATATATCGTAAGGCTTGTTCTCCGTGCGGGGAGTAATTAGATTCGGTGTAATCAAAGCCTCGTGAAACGGTCCTATAACGTAATGGTAATCTGTTAGTTCGATATGGGAAAGACCATTGTAGAATATCGGATAGCTAGAAACAAGTTGCGATAGATATGCGAAAATCATCTTTGTTTTAAACTGTATTAAAGATTAATTTGGTTTGTGGGTCAGCTAATATATTGTTGCTATCAGATCGATTTGGACAAACAGTGATACGGATTAAAACGTGTGTGAACAATTGTTTCCTCGGTCATTGTTTTATGAGGAACTTTTTCACGCTACATACATATCTAGATATTTTAACGGCCATATTTTTGTAAAGTAATGTTTCAATTTCGTGTTCCTATAAAATGCTTAGTATTAATTTAAAAAGGAATATTTGTTTTTCTTTCTGAATATTTCATTTCAATGTAAGAGCTTTGCAATTTATATCTCCAAGGACGCGGTGTTGTTTGTACTTGAAATAATGTGGTAATAATTGGTTATAAAAAGAAGTTACACTCAACTGTGGGAATAAACCTTGACAGACTGGTGGATCAAGGCTGACTTGGTAGCTCGGTCTTGGATCTAGTGACACCACAAGCCCACCGGTTTTTCCATATATTATATATCTTTATCAAACATTATCTATCTGCTAGGCCCTTGAAACTATAATCAAAATTTAAGCCCGCAATACATAATTTGGTTTTGAAATACTTTGTATATCATACGTAATTATAAATAAATTATTACGTAAACACGAATAGCCGAGTTCTCGTTCAATGATATCATTTTAATGTTTCCGTCAATGGGCACATAGCAATAAACACTTACGTCTAAGTACAAGGACTACCCACTTTATTAGTCATCTGGGTAAGTAATAGGGAGTGCGTGACAATCGGTTGTTGAACTTTCAAAGAGGTTTGACAGTAATCAACTAAATTTTGCCTTCGAATGACTAAAATTAACAAAACTATATTTGATAGTTGCTATTTATACGAGATGTATTTGATACTTGCTATTTTTAATATAGGGTATAAAATCGATTAAGCAACTAGTCGTATAATTTTAGCTCGTCTTAATCCCGGGCTATTAATTATCTCGCCGAATTTCATAAATTGAAAAATTTTAGAAGATCCCTTAATGCGAAATAATGACGGGTTTCGGTTAAGCGTTGCTAATGTAGCAATTTGATACATCACATATTAACAAAGGTTAGGAGATAAATGTTCAGTTTGTTATTATTTTAACATAAATTTAAAATTTAAAACTTCATAAGCGAAGTTCTACTATCAAATAATATATATATATTTTATATGTAACAAAAATAATTAAAACTGTTCAGGAAATATGTTATTCGATACATATACAGGGTGACTGGTGAATTACTATCGATATTTGAGGACGTGATATTTGACGATCATATATGACAAAATAAAAATTAATATAACATAAATATTAATAAACTTCTAAGTAAAGTTAACCAAAAGTTAATTAATTACGCATCGTGTGAACACCCTACAGATTAGGTATACACACACACACACACACACACACACACACACACACACACACACACACACGCGTGCGTCGGCGTGGTGTTGTATCAGCACGCCGCCGCACGCGTCCACACTTGGAACGTGTCCACACTTTATTTATTTATACGGAAATTTGGTCAAAAATTAAGTACCTATTTTTTTACATAATTCGAATGAGAATCATGTACCGAGTATGCTCCTTAAATATTGATAGTAATTCACCAGTCACCCTGTATGTTTTATAGTTATGCTAGCGTTATATAAATTCATATAGATAAAAAAAAATTGCATGTCGGCTGTAGACCACGAGCCATGCAAGCGGAAGTTGTCACTTGGACCGGAACCACCCAGCCCTGACCGCTTTTAGGGTCAATTAGCCCCTTATTTATAGACCTAAATAAATTAGTTCCAACATACATTGTTCTGTCAAAGGGGAGAATGTTTGAATACAATACGTACATTATAATTTCATTGGTGTAATTATCGTGTGATGTATATCTACCGTATTAATGATAGTTGCCATTCCTCACGCAACTAAAATACTTTATTAAAACCTTGTTTATTTATTTACTACGGATTTTTTTTATAAAAAGGAATCCAATAACCTAAATGAAATAACCGCAATGAAAACACACAATTCAGTACTTTTTTAGGGTGAAATCTTACAAATATGTTACTCTGGTTTTTGTCTGCAAGTCTTTCTGTGTTATCTTTAGAATAAAGCTCAGTGAAATATATAAAATGTGTTAAAATGATAGAATCAATGGTATCCAAATGTGACATCGAAAATCGGCGTTTAAATGACTCTATACACAATACTATTGCATTTGTGATACTGCAGTAACTAAATGAAATTGTAGCTTATATCTTATTTTTATATCAAAGCTACAGTACAAAGTTTCATCAAAACCCGTTCAGTAGTTTTAGCATGAAAGAACAACAAACATCCATACACCCTTCCAAACTCATTATTACTATTATTAATATTCTTAATATTTTCATTGAATAATATTTTTGTCTATTTTTATCTTATATACAATTAGACTACCAAAAAACGTCTGTGAGTTAATGAGCATTTTAAATGTAAAATCTGTTTTAAAAGCTAATTACAATAACAATCGCCTGTTTATCTGTTCGTAATACGTCCGACCTTGGATGTGTTTCGGTTTGCTTGTTTTGTATGTTATCTATAAATATACTTTTCATTCTCATCTCATTTTCATTACAATACTATTTAATAAAAGCTTTAAATCATCTCGACTGAAAATACTCGTATAGTCTACTCGTGTAGTCTAATTCGGCAGATAATAAAGCGGTAAGCACGTATAACTTAAGTTATTTTCTTCTATACGTAATTGAACGTAACAATTGCCTTTAAGTTGTTAATGTAACAGGTGGTACCACCTACCAAGGCTCCGTTCTAACAATACGTCTTTTGTTTTCGTCTGCCGACACGGAGGAAGTAATTCGTTGTTTATTGGACACGTATCGGCTTCCATTTCGTGTAAGGTCAACGGTGACAAAGTTATTATATAATTTGTATGGAATTATATATTATTTTGAAGGAAATGCAACCTTAGTGAGGTCATTAGAATTATGTATATATATATCTAAAATTTAGCCTCTATATCACATTCTGAATCCTGTATTTATTATATAAATCAAGGATGATAAAGTGTGAGCTAAGCCTTATTTATTCATTGCGTGTCGACCAGGCTTTACAATGATTTAAACTGACAGCATAAATACAAAATAAACAAGTAAGCTTAATATACGCGATTTGTATATTCTAATGAAAAGCTTGTAAATTGCAATTGCAATATGCAATTCAAATTGCAAATTTATTTTCAGTATTAATATTTAAATTATGCGAATTAATAATTGATTTTTGCCCCTCGTACATACTTCCATATGAGTATAATTTCCGTTGAGCAGGTGTCTGAAGCCGTTTGTCCGTCTGACAACCGCTTCCGTTACATCGACAGTTACCAAAACCCTTCACTCGAGTAAAAAATCTAACCAACAATCATTATTTTACTATAGCGGTTCCTGTACGCCTTATAGAAAAAAAACCTTTAAAACGAAACTATGTTTTTGGATACTAGAGCCCTTTATTACTTTATTAAACATTTCATGTACCTAATCTTAAAATGTGAAAGCAAAAAAGTGCAAAGTCACAACCGAAAAACATATTTTCATTTTAAATGTCCACTCGCGAAAATCTTACTTATCATTACGAGTAACTTTATTCCGTTTCAAAAGAAAATATCTTCATATACACAGAGATCTCTCGTAAGATAATAAAAAGTGAAAAACTAAATGAGCGTGCACGATGTTTTTAATTCAATTAATCCAACAATGGTATAAAACTTGTACGTCATCTTGTATCGGAGGAATCAAGACGTCAGCTTCCCAAATCGGGATCTTATCTCAACTGTGGAGTACCATCCTCTGCCTACGGCCGGCGAGAACACCTGTTGATCGTAAAGCAGCCCGATATGGTGATAACAACTCTATTATCATATAAATAAGATTGATTCTGTATTGTATAGATGATTGATGATTACTCGAGCCGGTCGCGGCGCGTGCGCCTGGCCGCAGGGGAATGCCTCCAGAGTCATTAAGTTTAGAGATTGGTGGCACCACTATGATACATGTGATGTGCCGGATGTTTCGGTAATGATTACGACCGAACCCGAATACCAAAACTATATTTTATTTGTACTCTCTTAACCTCTCGGTCACGATAATATGAATTATTGTCGTAAAACATATTGATGTCATATCAATTTCAAAGCATGTTGTATTTGATCTCGCCTTACATATATTTTCTATTTACTATCGTCAATACCAAGAGGCAAGACGGGCTACATAAAATCCTATTAAAAAGCTTTAAACTTCAGATCTATTTTATAGGTTTATAATTTATAATAAAATCAATTTTAAATCTACCTCACGGTATAAAAATTTAATGGTTTGAGATCGAGATAAAGTGTTTAATTTTATGGTATTAACATGCAAAACTCTAGAATGTGGCTCGGACAGTGTGTGGCGTAGGTTATAATACAGTTGATATGATCGGAGTTGTCTGAATGTAACCGTAGCATGGCGTCAACTGCGTTATGTTCCAGCGAGGGTAATTTTAGGTCATTCCCATCAGTGCGGCGACCTTGTGCGCACGCGCATCTTAGACACACACCATACTACGTTAGAGCTTTTATTTCGTAACGTACGCTTTATTATAAACAATGCTCAATGGACATGTTGTTTGTAATCAGAAATAATAATAAAAACTTAAATAAATAACAATACCATTTATATGTTTTAACAATGGTGAGTGGCACGTTCTTATATATGATTGTTCTCAATAAAGACATCTCTGTAAGAACAATATATTATTGATTTTATTTCGTCGAATGCATGTGCTGAATTAGTATTGTTATGTCTACCCTCGGCGCGTTACGTAATCAAATGACTGCGCTTGCTTAAAACGTGACCCACATCCGTTCATGTGAAAATAAGGATTAACTTTTATATACAATATATAATGCACAATTTATGTATATAGATTGCCTTTGATAAATATTGTTTTCGCTGAAAGTAGGGCGGTTTGTTCCAGGAAAATCTGGGGCCGTTTGGTCGGATTGTTATGCGGTTGCTAAAAGAAACATGGCTCGCAAATTGTTTGTTTAGAGTAACTCGCTAAATCTCAAAGTTGTAGACATTTTCTGGACGCACGCCAATGTTTTAAGTGGGATTGGTAATGCAGATAATGCAAGAAATGTAGGTGCAACATCAACACGGCTCCATACTGACAATAATGTAGATATATATTTATACAAATGTTTTTCTGACAAAGCTACCAAACAAAATACTTGTGTTACAAAAAAATTGATAAATCTGTGACAATATAAGTTTAAGTTAAATTCAAGAAATGATTTTAGTCTTCCACATTTTTTCATGTCATGTAATTTTCAAAAGCGTCACCTAATTTATATTCAGACAATTTGAATTTTAAAAGACGTTTTGAAGACCCATGGTATCAGTTACTGACGGTCGTGGCGGCGAGGAATAATTTTGGTGTTATCGACACAAATATAATACATATATATCAAAGGTAGATCAAAGAAAAAATTAAAAGTTTTTTAAAGTTATTGAATATGAATTAACCAGAAATGTGAATGAAGAGGCATTGAAAGGTAGATGAAGTAGTTAATTATTTTGTAGAGATGAGAAAAGTGTCCAAATCTACGTCCGCTAAGTAATAACGTAACACACAACATGATTACTGCTTCAAGGAAGGGCGGAGCGACTTTATAAATCTCTCTCAAATCGATTAAAGCTAGCCTAGAGCCCTCGTTTTGTCTCTGTCTAATGGCCGCCCTACCTCTTTTCGGATATAATCTCCGACGGTTCATTGTACCCTGTGGTCATTGGGACCCGCTGACTAGCCTCGCCCGCGGCTTCTACCGTACACGAACAATAAAGGTACTCGAGCCCAAAATTCCCAGAATGGTAAATGCTTATCCATAAACGTAGCGGTGCGTTATAGACCTCAACCGAAAAAAAAAAAAAACAAAAAAAAACTACTATTCTCATTGATTCGAATTCGCATTAAGACCTTTTTAGGCATTTTTATTGTCTGTACAATAATTGAGAGAAATACAACTACCAATTACAAAGTAGCACGCACTGTCCCTCATACGGAGTCAGCATTAAGTTTAATTTATATGGCCCATTGTTACTCTTAAACGGATCGAAACCGAAGTAAACAAATGCATCGCACAAACAAATATCTGAATCAGGAATCACATAAATATGTATTGAAATCATGAGTTTATTTTTGGTATATTTGAAAGTTAAAAATATATATATGAATTTAAACATGTACGGAAACGACGGTAGGTCTCGAATCTCATTAAATAGCGAGCGAATGTTGAGAAAATTGGTTCACTGTTATTACAATTATAATTCGTTAACGCTCTAATAAATTGAAATACACGCATAATAACATCGTTTACTTATGTTAAATAAGTTTATCTTAATCTGATATATATTCGGATACGCGCTGCTCTACGCGCGGAGTTTTTTTTTTTGTTAAGGTCACTCAAGAATCATATTTTGGAGCAAAAAGTAGAACGTTACGGAAGTAATTCGAAAGCGAATTTTAATAACTACTTTAAAAAATGTGTTTATTAAGTGTCGGTGTTATTAAATTATTGCAAATATTTCGATATTATTCCACACTTCTATATACAGGCTGATGATAACTTCATTTGTCCCTTAACTTTTATTTCATGCATGCTGTTAACACCTATAAGTAAGATAACACTAGTCTTTTTTTTATTCATGTATCTGGAATGTTTTAGTGTGTATTTTGTTTGTGATCTAATAAATAAATAACTTTGTTATTTTGAGACGTATAAGTAGTATTGCTGACAAGGAAACATTTTCCAGCCTGTTCGAACAGGAGATTATGAGTTACGTGCCAGCTTCTGGGGCTCCGGAGCCTTCGCCGGTGGCGTCCCCTGCCGCCGCGAGGAGCACCCGGGCACCCGCCCCACAGAGAAGGGACTTCGAGGCTAAACTACGAGCCTTCTATAGGAAACTAGAGAGCAAAGGATACGGACAAGGACCGGGGAAACTAAAGTGAGCCCTTGAAATAAATATTATTATGGTTTTAATATTAAAGCTGTGTAGAACTTTAATGGAATAAGTTATTCGGTAGAATTCGTACCTAGCAACCAAATAAAAAAGCAATTGAGACGTAATATATTTGAGGTTGCTGGTTCGAGTCCCGCCCGAGTCAATGAATTTTTAATGTCATATTTTCTAACCAATTTTACTTATGCCATTGAAGATTGATCAAAAATATAAATTCATATATTTATAAAAACATATATAAATTGTTGCAAAAAGTCAATTATAATAATTTAAATGCATTTTTAAAGACAATTTATGATAACACTTTCAGATTACACATCCGGCGCGAACATCTTCTAGAAGATGCGTTCAGACGGATCATGTCTTGTAGCAAGAAGGAATTACAGAAGGGCAAGCTGTGTGTGTTATGGGACGGCGAGGAAGGCTTGGACTACGGCGGACCGAGCAGGGAGTTCTTCTTCCTCCTCTCAAGGGAACTCTTCAACCCTTACTACGGACTATTCGAGTACTCTGCCAACGATACATACACGGTCCACGTATCGCCCATGTCTGCCTTCGTTGACAATCATCACGAATGGTGAGTCACTCACGCTACACCATATAAATATTCCATATCAATAATAAAAAAAATTACGTCCATTTCGTTACTAACATTTAATAAGATATGACAAACCCACTTTTGAGACCAGCGTTTCAATTTCATCATTTGTTATATTCTAGATGAAATATTTTATTATTAACAGCGCCATCTATTAGTTATATAGTAACTTATTACTTATTCTCACGGTGCAAAAAGACGTGTCATTTTTCACAATATTATATCCGATTATCATGTATACAGCAGCTATTGTAATCAATAGTGACCTTTTAGATTGTAATTACGACTATTACTGATAATAACGCAGTATAAAGATAATGGCCAGCCATTGATTTGTCTCTGTAAATAACACGGCTTACATGGCGCTGTCGGACACGCGAAGGACGTCCTCTATTGTTTTACATCGTGTAATGGCGGCGTTTGAAAACTTTAGAGCTAACTCGTCATTTATAAATGGAAAACTATTTAAAATTATTTTGCACATGACAGAGAAGCTTATCTTCATGATAGGAATGTATTAATTACTATCATTCATGATTATGTTAGTCAGTCAAGGACGCCGTATCAGGCCCCACGTTCAATACGTTTGTGATAAGATTAACTTGAGATTAAGATAAAAAATACAAAATCTAAGACAGGAGAATTATATAGAGTAATAAAATAAGTAAATATATTTGCTTATTTATTTTTATGTAGCATTATGTTGTGTACCATCTTGTTTCTGTCATTAATATACAAAACTTATTCAATGTAATTAAAATAAAAACGCATTTAGATAGTGCATCACGATAAGGGCGTGGAACGGAACGTCTCACAATCGCCGGTCATTGTACTTATTAATCAAGTATGGCGCGTTTTATTAATTGTCATTCATACTGGGACTTCCGACTATTGTTTGTCAACGGATAATATAAATTATAAAGTATTTTTGGATAAGTTTTTTACTTGTTACAAGTGTTCACAGGTAATATTGAATGTCCGTTGTTTTTTTTTTGTAAATATACGCTTGATAAAGTTACTGTTTGACATTATAAGGATCACGTACCACGGAGTTATATCAGAAATAGGTTATACTATGTACTGCTTTTAATTTAATATTTTTACGCTTCAATATACCCTGTGATATATGATGCGTCATTATTTCTTATGAAAAAAGTCTTGTTAGTTCTTATAAAAATATCGTAAGCGGCTCAAGTCACGCTACCTTAGAACCTTCTCAGTTTTTGCAAGAAAACCTTACGAGAATCTCGTGTTACCTCAGTATCTAGTTACTGACGAATTAACTATTTATGAATTCACTGTTATTTTTTGTACCGACACTACCTGGGCTGCGTTCAAAATATTTGTCGTAATTTGATCACCAACGTATTGTCCATCTATTCACAATTTTTTACAGAATTTAAAAAATTTAATGTTATATTAAGTTAAGAATTTTTTCAGTATTAAGTTACTTGTTATTATATAAAAATATAAAATAAAAGGGTTTTTTATGAATATACCAACATAACTATACGTATTATTAAAGCTCAATATTCTGAATGTTTCTGTATCGCCGTACATTTTTGAAATTAGTTATAATCAATCAGCAATCTTTAATATCATATCGTAGGTAATGTGCAATATTATATTAAACAAAGATGTCCTACTCAATTTTATTTAAAATCTTTATAAATATATCGTCACAAACAGTTTGTAAACTTCGTTCCATGTTACTAAGTACAAATCCTTCTCCCAGGTTCAGATTCTCCGGCCGCGTCCTCGGGCTGGCGCTAGTCCACGGCTACCTGTTAGAGGCCTGGTTCACACGAGCCCTGTACCGCGCGCTGCTCCGCCTCCCACCGGCCCTCGAGGACGTTGATGCGCTCGACGCGCAGTTCGCCGCCTCACTGAGATGGCTTCAGGTCAGATGAACAACACCACACATTTGATTTTTAATTCGTGTTCTAAACTCAAACTTAGAAAAAGTGCGATGAAGGTTTTGATATAATTTCTCTTTGTGTTCAGATGATCAACAGGCACTACATATTGAATTTGTTGTCGTGTTCTAAATTCAAACTTAGACAGAAAAAAAATGTGATGGTTTTAACATAATCTCGCTTTGTGTTCAGACGATACATAGGTACTACATAGGTATTTAATTTGTTGTCGAGTTCTAAATTCAAACTTAGACAGAAAAAAAATGTTATGATTTTAACATAATCTCGTCCAGTGTTCGATATTTAAAATTATAACAATTGAATTTTTGTAATGCGATATTTTTGTTATGAAACCTAACTATATGTACATGACTTTACAGTGTCTGATAAATCTAAATATATTGAATACTCCTAACGCCGGTCCCAGTATGAGTATATTCCAGTATATAAGACGTGTTGTATTATAACTACAGTCTGCTCGTTGCGTGTCGTCTCTGGAGCTAACGTTCGCGGTGTCGGAGAGGTTGGCGGACGGGCGCGTGTTGGAACGGGAATTGAGGCCGGGCGGGCGGGAACTGGCTGTTACTGAGAGGAACAAGAAGGACTACCTCGAGCGACTGGTACGATGGCGCGTGCAGAGAGGAGTAGCCGATCAGACAGAGTGGCTCGTGAGGGGCTTCCATGAGGTTAGTTTACTACTATCCCTGCTTTGAAATAATATACTGATTTTATACCACGCCTGACGTATGGTCGGCCTGATGTTAGGCGTAAGGCGGTCACCGTGATCTGTGTACGCTGGAAATTTTAAGTTTTCCACCATGATAGTTTATATAGTTTTTATACCAAGATTATGGCTTAATGTATAATCGGCCTGATGTTAGACAATCACAGCGCTCTATGTACCTACGAAGGAAATATTTAAAGTGTCGCTTGCATGTTACGGAGCCTTATGTGTAATCTCCGACCTATGTACTAGATTTTTGAGTGAAAGTAATTTTTAAGGATATAAGACCGTTGCTTGAGTTTGGTAAAAAACTACATATTCCCGACGTTTCGGTTAGTTTTCAGCAACCGTGATCTAGATGTGAACTGTGAACTATGTAAAATAGCCGAAAATTATAAAGTCTAAGATCTCATTAGATTTTTGAATATAAGAACATCAACACATAGGAGTCTTAAATAAACCTATTATTTACTTCTAAATATATAGTAATATATGTATAAAATTGTTTTTCTTATGCATCATACGTATAAATCATTTGTTTTTGCTTATAGTAAATCTTATTTTTTCTGAAAAACATCAAAAATCTAATATTATATTAGTTAAACATTTAGTCTATTACTTGGTGACTGTAACTAGCGCCATCTCTTGACGGACACGTGTATTATAATATAAAGTAAATCTATGAGGCTATGGAGAACTTTTTACTGTCATTACTTATTATTCGAAAAATAAAAATACGAGCAAAATCACTACGAGTTATGGAACTCCTGTCTTTTAATAATTTACCAATTTTAATCCACAATTATGAAATTTTCATTTGGCAGTTATAAACAGAACTTGGTTCCAATTATTATAGTTTTTTAAAGCTTATAATATTTGAAATATTGACTAAAATATCCTAAGTAACCGTCTAGGAAGTAAAAATAAATATATGATTTGAATCAAAATATATTTCTAATTATTATATTATGCACATCTCTCAGGAACTTTCATTATAAAATTGTTTTCATAATATATTATGTACTGTTTGCATGTGTTTGGTTAAAATGATCATTATCTCTTTACTTGTTGTATTACTCGTAAAACATATTTTTTATTTTGTATAATAAGATTTAAGAACCTAGTTTCGTACGCTCAAAAATTTTGTACATTAGTTATGTAAATTAGTTTTAAGTTTCATTTAAGTGAATATGTGATAGTCTTTATGAATGAATAAATCATTTCTGACTGATTTTTGAGTACTATATGATATTTTTCTCGGTCACAGGTAGTAGACCCTCGCTTGGTGGCAGCCTTTGATGCTCGTGAGTTGGAATTGGTGATAGCGGGTGCTCCAGAACTAGATGTAGCGGATTGGAGGACACACACGGAGTACCGGGGAGGGTACCACGACCATCACCCCGTCATACTAGCCTTCTGGCAGGCCATCGACAGGTGACACACACTAATATTATATATATTACTTAAAAAACTATTTATATCATCAAAATAGTCATCAATCGAGAGTGAAGTGATAATAATTTATATGTCGTTAAATACGTCCACGTGTAGATAACCTTTGCCCCATTATAAGCATTGTTTAGACTACAATTTTCCATGAACCTTGTCATTTTATGAACTCCGTAATGGAATTTAATTTGCATATAAACCAGCATTCCTAACATGATATGAGTTTTGTAGAGTTAAATATAGCCATGTAAAAAAAAGTACTAATGAAAAATAATGAATATATAAATATACTAATGAATTAATATTTCCAGATTCACAAACGAGCAGCGTCTGCGGTTAGTTCAGTTCGTGACGGGGACGTCTTCTATACCTTACGAAGGTTTCTCAGCGTTGCGGGGCTCCACGGGCCCGCGCAGGTTCTGTATAGAGCGCTGGGGCCGCACGGAGTCCCTGCCGCGGGCCCACACGTGCTTCAACCGGCTCGACCTGCCGCCCTACCCCACGCTGCAACTGCTGCACGAGAAACTATTGCTGGCCGTCGAGGAGACCAACACCTTCGGCATAGAATGAGACCCTTCACACGTGACCCGAAGCCGCCCGCTTGTTCTACTCGAGTATATTATCCTGGCTGTGAACCGGGACCCCAGCCCGGGTTTAGTTATTACGCTTTCACTAATTTATAATTTTACTAACAGTCGACAATGCCGTCTCAGTATCTATTATTATTAGAGGTCGATGTTCTGTAAAGGTTAATGTAGGAGCGTTCTCTTGCTATCGATGGCTATATCAGAGATGCTATTTAATTTATTGAAATGAAAACAGTACTTCCTAGTCAGCTAATATAAATGTATGCTAATTAAACCACGACGATATATCACAGCTTCTTCCCGATAGTTGATACTGTTTAGGATATTAAAATAATATTTGACATATTGTATGTTGATCTTTGCTTAATGTAGAGCAAAGTTCGCCGGTTAATGAGAGGTCTGTACTTTCCTCTTGACAACTGTATTCATATTTCGTTAGTGCAAATACTAATTGTATCACCGATTATTGTAAATAAATTCATTATTTATTTGTCTTGTGGTCGCACTGAAGTGTAAGTTTATGTTATTTTCTATAAGTATCATAGCTCTATTATGTTAAATATTTAACTACTATTGAATATTGTTTATTATGATTAAATTTTAAGTAATTTGTTTTGTGTGGAAGTGATCAAATCAAAATGTCAATATACAATATATTACTTACAAGAATAAAGTTGTTTTATTCAAACCCTGAGAGTTCATCAACATGTCATCAAAGTTAACCTTCAATTTGTATAAGTTACTTGTTGAAAACATCAAATATAAAACTATGTTTAAACTACACATCTACCAACATTGAACAGGAAATGGCTGGGAGTAGAACAGTGTCTGAAGGAGAGGAAGATATAGATGATAGAAGCTTTGATAGTATGAGAGACAGCAGGCAACGGAAATGTGCAAACTAAATAAAATAATAACAATAAAGCAAAATTCACACATACAAAATGTTTATTTTTCAAGAAGTTTGTGTAACAACAAAAATCAACCTTGTTATTAAAGACCTTATTTTTTAAACATTTGGGAGCTTCACACATCACTCCCTATAGGAGCAGAAGACTCCATGTTGGAGACGAGGAGCTTCATGACAACTGAACATGTGTCCCCTGCTCATATAACGACATGAGTGTGTCGGCCCGTGTAACTATTTACAGTTAAGTCTGCATCCGTCAACACATACTCGTGATACCAAATGCAGTGGGTTATTCTTTCACAAATTTCTACACTAAATTGTGACAAAGTTAATTTTAAAATTGTGTCACAGTCTGCAAGTTTTTAAACTCATCTCATGTTATAAATCATCAGTTAATTGTAAGCAGAGGTGATTACAATATAAGCTACTGTTATAGATTTATATAGGCATTACGGTCGCTATGTGTATTATGCAAAATTAAAAACAGTTGACATGTCCCCCTCCTCCTTTACACACCCAAAGAGCATCTCCGGGAGCTCTGGATAAGTCAATTTTACTCAATAAAATTTCTCTGCACATCACCAGTTTCTAGACTGTAAATGTCAAGAAAGTGACTAAAACTCAAATGTAATATAATACACACCTTTGTAAATATTTTGTATATTTACTTCAAAAATAACGGTACATACAATTTTAAATCTGTATCTCTATCATACTTTCGAAAGGGGAGAAGAACAGACTCACTGCGAGTCTAGCTGAGTGAAGGGAAATCCTTGCTGTCGTCCACCTTGGGCGGGGGGCGACCTGGCTCCTGGGCGCCGGCCGCTCCTCGGGCGCAGCCTCCTCGCGCGGCGCGCCGGCCCCCGGTGCTCCGCCGCGGCCCCCACGCCCGCGCCCGCGTCCTCGCCCGCGGCCGCCGGTGCCCCCCGCGGCCGCGCCGTGTCGTTGAACGTGAACTCGATGCCCAGCACCCGCTTCTGCCGGCCCACCCGCTGCGGGTAGTCCGCGATGTCGTACTCCTCGTCGCTGTCGTCCTCCTCGCCCCCCTCCTTCTTCTTCTCCAGCAGAACCAGATTCTTCCACTGGCTAAGATCCTCCCCCTCGCCCGGCCTTCCGCAGGTTTTGTACTGTGGAGCCATGCGTTGAGCGTTACGGAGCGCCTTGTACTCGTCCAGGGTGAGCTCGCGGGGCTCCTCCTCGGCGGCGCGGAGCTCGCTCGGGCTCCGACTGCTGACCGTCGCCAGCGCCGGTCCGCGTCCCGGCGCCTTCTCCTCGGCCACTTCACCTTCGGATCCGGTTTTGTTCAGTTCGTCGATATCGTCCCCCTTATAGTTCCCCAGTTTGTGAGGCCCGGCGCCCTCGCGCTTGTCCACCGGTTTAACGCCAGTTTTGTCAGAGCCCGACCTTCTGTCAAACTCACGCTTGCCTCGGCCGTCGAAGCCCGGTCGCGGACCACGTTGTCCTTCACGCGGCTCACGTGGGGGCCTCGGACCGCGACGTTCTCCTCCTTCAGAGTTATCGTTGAAGTTACGTCGCTCAAAGTTAGGCCTTCGGTCACCGAATTCCCTGCGGGGAGGTCGCGCGCCCTCCTTACCTTCGACGGCTCCATTCTGGGGACGCTCCTCGCGGCGCCTCGGCGGCGGCCGTTCCGCGTTGCGATCGTTCGTCCGAGGTGGACCTTTGTTCTTTTGTTGTTCACCACTCTTAATTTCTTGAGACTTCACGTTTCTGAGTTTTCCTTGATGCCCTTCCTCGTGACGACACTGCCACCCTTAGGTTTGGCCTCAGGTTTCCCCTTGTTCTCTTTTTCCGCCTCTTTGGTCCTTTTTCTTGAGCTCTTTTGCTTGCTCTCGAGCTTTTAACGCATCAAGAGGATCGGACTCATCGTCCAAGAAAAGAGCGTATCTGTTATCGGTCCCCCACACCGTAGGAATTCTCCATTGTGATCCTCTTGATGATTTAATCACACAAAAAACTAGATGTTAATGGATTTATTTCACACGCTTAGTAAGGCGACATTTTGTCTTATTTTATTGATTTCATTTAATATGGCGGACAAACGAACACACTATAACGCCATATGACGGCAAGAATAGAGAAAAGAATGAAAATGGCCGAAATCTATCTTTTTAAGATCTATGGTAGTCTTGTGTAGCATAGACAATATTATACTTTAATACTGAATATCGCACAAGTTATAGACAATACATCCAGGTTTAATAAATAAACCATCATAATAATTTGAACTATTTTATATTGTATTTTAGAAAATAATATTTAATAATTTCTATATAAAATTAAATAATATTTTTTTTTCTTTGTCATAGATGTACACTTAAGTATGAACTAGTGTTATATTATTATGAACTTTTTTAAGTAGTATTGTCATCAAGGATGTATTTGCAGTCACTTTATAGCGAGTTAAAGGGAAAATAAAAAAAATGAAATACATTTATGTCTTTAATAGTTCTTCACTACGTAAAATTCACTTTAAAAATAAATCATTTTATCTAAATATAAATGTTTACAATATTCCAAAAAAAAACGAAAAGCTTTTACTAGAAATTTACAATAAACTTATACTTCGAACAGGTGCAACGTAAAAATCACTTTTTATTTGCATTTTCCACCCTTGCCACCACCAGCAGATCCCAAACAGGTATCCATCAATAGGCCGCAAACAAGATAAGGGTCACAGTCCCCGGCCGGTCTCCTATCCTCCATAAAGCCTTTACCCTTTTCTTTTATATTTCTTTGCAAACGAATCGAACTCTTTCTATTTGCTATTCCCCATGAGAACTTGTCGAAGGGCGCAGTCTCAAACTTTCCAGACAAACGCATTCTGTTAGTCATTTCATCATTTCCGTAGCTCTTCATGTGTTTTCATGTGATTTTGTTCAAGTCGTTTGATACACTCTTCAATAAACTTATAACCCCCATCTGAACGCATTCTTTTAGTGCTAAAATTGTGATGCATGCCCACGCCAGGATGCTTGGGTCCCATTGGTTTGGGATGATAGGTAATGACACACACCATAATCTTCAGCTATTCTGCCCATTATATATCGCGACATCCACATGTCATCTGCGGCTTTAAATCCCTATTGTGGTTCCAATCTGCCATTCCCAACAAGCGAACATTACTTCCGCATTTGTGCCTTCGAAATCACATCCCGCATAAAGACAGCTTTTAGTATGAGCTTCACAAATATCCCGTCCTGCAATATACTTAGCTCCGATTCCGCAATAAGAGAATTCGTAATTAACAGCAGGAAACCCACCACCTTTGGGCCAGCCCAAGCCCCAGCCGTCGACATCTAGCATTGTATATTCTTGTTCCAATCCAAACCATGGTTCTTCCGCTCTATGAAACTCGCATAGATCATTGCAAAATTTTCTATGGTTAGTGGAAGCCGGCGAACCATCTCCCATATATACTTCACACAAGACAAGGACGTGAGGTTCCATTCTGAACGGATCTCGATAAACGGCACATGGTTTTAACGATGTGTCAGAATTAGCTGTGGTGGCTTGACCGGTGGAGCTTCCATCAAATGCCCATCCAGGGGCCACGTCTGCGCTATAAGGGGTGCAATTTAAAATCCTATCTTTACATCTCAGATTGATACCAGAGCCGTCGATCCAACAATACGTTGCTAAAACCTTGTTACAAGGCACGGGGAGCCGTATATATCTATCCATAACTTTCTTGTTCAAGATGTGATTGATAGATTCCTTAAGCATATATCTTTTCGATATAAAGTACACATTATTTACGTTTTTAGTCAACAAAGAAAAACAATTAAATAATTTCTCCATTTTAAAATTTAATATACACCAAAAAAATTTAACGTGAAAATTTATGATTGTAAATTTGGTTGATGCGACAGCTTCTACTAGAATATTTTATTTTATACATTTTCAAAAATTATCAATTGTTATTTTTTTCTATCCTGCCAATGAAACAATAATGAACCTCTTTTGAAAACTTATTACAGAACAGAACAGTATTGCAGAAATATATATATTTTTTTCTAGCTATAGACAGGTTTCGGCAAGAAGGCTACACACTCTATATGGATCGCAGTCACCGGCTGGTCTTCGATCTTCCAAAAAACCTTTTCCCTTCAATTTAACATTTCTCTGCAGCCTTACTGATGCACCTCTGTCTGCTACAGCCCATTTACATGAATCAAACGATGCTGTTTCAAATTTTTCCTGTTAATCTTTTTTTATTTTCATGTCCATCACCCAAACCATAGTTTTTTATGTATTTATCATGTTGATCGCATAAAACTTTGCAGACACGTTCTATCTCGCCAATTCCTCCTTCATCTCGCATCTTTTTTATACTGAAATTATGATGACATCCAATTCCTGGATGATGCTTACCCATCGGTTTAGGATGGTAACTAATTATAGTCCCAAATTGTTCAGATATTCTATTCAAAAAATATCTTGCCCACCCACAAATCATCTGCGGCCTTTATACCAGAAGAAGTTCCGACTTGAAACTCCCAAGATCCCTTCATAACCTCAGCATTGGGGAACCTCCATAATCTATACCGGAATAAATACAAGCTCTTGCGTGGACTTCGGCTATTTTCTCTTCCAGCTACATGCTCGCCAGTTCCACAATATGAAAACTTTGATTTAATTGTTGGAAACCCACGGCATTTTGGCCATCCCAGTGGCCACAGATCCGTATCAAACATGGTATATTCTTGTTCTATACCAAACCAAGGATCTTGATCGCAAAGATTACTAAGAACTTTAGCACAATTGGCTCTATAATTGGTTGGTGTTGGTGTCCCATCTCCATAGTATGTTTCACAGAGAACCACGATGTGAGGGGCTTTTCGAAAAGGATCTCTATATACTGCTGAAGGAATTAATAATGTGTCCGAATTTTTTTCAGTTTTTGCTTGTCCAGTAGAGCTGCCGTCAAAAGACCACTTGGGAACTTGTGCTAAGTCACATGGCAGTTTTACTTAAAACTCGATCTTTTGAGCGTAAATTTATCCCACTTCCATCAATCCAAACATATGTAGCTAAAACTTTGTCCTCTGGTAACGGAAGATTAATATAATGATTGTATATTGAATTCAGTGGTACATTTGTTTTGCAACCACCAGATGTAAAATTTTCATTACTAAAATATCGCAATTTTTTCTGAATGGGATAATTCCTTTTCAATAAAATTACAAATGGATATATTTTTCTTACGGTAAACATTACTTTATAATATAATAAAAAAAGAACTTAATATAATAATACCAAAAATTTTAAATACGGTATCTTATAATAATAAATTCAAGGTGGCTAAATTGAAAAATGATTTCAATAAATGTATAGCCAGTGTTTTATATGAAGAAAGTAAAGTTTAAGCAAATGTATGTTTTATAAACTCGATTAAATGAATGCATTCTATTTGTTAATTAATCCAAGAAATTGTATCTTTTAATATGAATTTAAAAAATATAATTTTATTTTTAAATACCATTCATTGTTTACTGTTAAAATAGAAGGTTATTTATTTAAAACTTAGATGTGATTGCTTGGTTTTTGCATTTAGACGAAGACTATTATTTTCATTTTAGATATGTTACTTAAGTGTAATAATAATTGTGACAAATTATTTTTTTTACATTAGTGCTTTATTTAATTTCAAAGATTTTTCATAATTGCATTGCTTTAAATATATTATTAATTCCTTACTGATATTTGTCTCTGGCGAGTTTGGTTAGATTGGAAATGTCATTATGTCAAATGTCAATGCTATATTAAATAAGTAAATATAGTATATTTACTTATTGCCTATAGAAATTATATATTTATGACAAAAAAGTTAATATTTAAATATTATTATATTATAAGAAAACAATATTGATCTACAAATCTTCTTGTAATTAATGGTGGATTGTGAATACAAATTAACATAAGTTTTTATAGAAATATTTTTTCTGTTTTACGTGAAAAATGTTAAATACCCACTAATTATTGTAAATAAAGTAGAATATGGAGACGTAAGTGTTTATATTAGATTATTTAAAGCGGAGTAGTTAGTACTACTTTTTGTTCAATATTAATTGATTGTATTTTTCATTAGAATTAAGCAAATGCAGCTTTTTCTTTGCAACTATGAGGTTATGCAGATATTACAGAAACTGAAAGACAATACTCAGAGAAAACATAAGCGAGAAGCTTCCTTGGCCACAGTTACTTATGAGGTATGAAAACATATAAAAATGACTTTTAAGTTATTTCAGTAATTTTTTGTACAAAGAAGACTATTAATACTAAAATTTATATATTTTTTGAATAATTTTCAGACTGTACATTACCTGCAAGATACAGAATGTAAAAAAATCAAAGTGAAGAATGTATACAGCAGTTTCTAGAGGCAATGAAAAAGTTTTAAATTGACAAAGTCCGAAAAACTAATGATGGTTTAATACACCTCCGAGGACGGAGTTGGAAATACAATTGGTATGACATCTAGTATAATTAATATTTTACACCAAATTTATACTTTAATTTTCTTTCTGTTCTTTGCAAAAAGAAAAATAATAGATGTTAAGGAAAATGATTTATTGTAATGTGTTTTTATTTCAGATAGTACAGGAGAGTGAAGAAAGGCTGTCAGAAGATGACGTCGCAAATATTATATCAATAGTTAACAAAATTTTACCCCGTTAATTCATAAGATTAATAATTTTTTTATCATTTTGCTCAATTTAATAAGACAAATAAAATACTGTGACTCATTTTGGAGTTTTCACAGTTTTTTTCAATAAATAACTTTTTTATTATTTATATCCATTTTATTTATTAAAGTATCCTTGAATAACAAAAATTGACTATACATTGTTTTATAATAATATGTATTTTTTTTTAATAATTTTTTTCAAATATTTATTCTTAATTTTTAATTTCTTTACTGTTTATAAAATGATGCAACATAATGAAAGACTTTCTAATCATAATACCTTGTTAGATATGTAATTGTTATATTGTAGTCATTAAGTAATATGGATTCTAAATCTAAACCTTCAATTAGTTTATATGATTAGATCATTATAAGGAATTAATTTTCCAATTTTGCTTGAATACTACAAAGTACTACAAAGTAAGAAAGAAAACGAAAATAAAATTTAAGTAATAGCACTGTAATAGAGAATCAATGTGAACTGACATCTAAGTGAATTAATTAGGAAAATGCCAGAATCCGCAATTATTTTGTGACCACATCAAAACCTTTCTGAATTCCGTTTTCACTAAAATTCAAAGAAAGCAGTTGATTTGGTTTAGAAATTTGTCTTAATTAGGATTTAAAATTATAAACTCATATAAATTTAAAGTCATAATAAATTGTGTGTATTTTATGTGTTCACAAGATACTTGTCTTATGTGAATGGTAGTCAGTCGATTTTTAAGGGAGTTATCCAAAACAAAAGTAAACATACATTATTTATTTCCGCCTTGAACATGTATCACCAAAAGATAATACATACAACATAATAAAAACCAAGCTATTACCTTAATTCATAATAAAACATATGGTTTTATAATTGCAATTTATAGTGTGAAATGAGGGATAAAATGATTGAGACTTACTTTTTTTTTTGCCAAATTTTCTGTAGTACCTTATTAAATTTAAATTGGTTTTTTTACATTCTATTTTAAAATTATATGATTAAAATCAAGATTATTATTTCATCAACAACATTATTTACTATTTCAGTCATATAATTTATCTATGTTTTAACCATTATAGGTCCCTTACTTCATTTACCAAAGTAATGAAAATTAACTTTGAAACATACAACTCAAGGAAGTGACAACAATTATATTTATCAATTAACAAGACTCCTACAGGCGCTAACAAGAAGGTTATGGTCTGCTGAGTCAACTTTTGATGAGTTATACACTTCCAACATTCATTATTGCAAAGAGTATATAGACATAAATGTTTATTTTGAGTTAATAGAAATGAGACACACATATAGATATATAATTACATATTATCCTTTAAAAATGATATATTAATTTCCAGAAGTAATGGGAAAATTCTAAGAAGCTGTTTAAGTATATTCAGAATACTCCATTAGTAAAACAATGATGATAATATTAGTATAATTATTACTTACTTAATAGTTTATACCTTTATTAACTAATTTATTTAATAGTATGCTTTTGCTTATGGTTTGTGGTATTGTTCCCATAACAAATCTCTTTCAAGTATGCTTTATTATTATTGTGAGGTCTCAATTCATTTTCCTTCAACAGATCTTGATTAAGGGCCAAATGACAATGGAACTAGCTTAGATCTTTCAATACAAAAAGAGATTTTGAAAATTCGCCTCTATTGGAAGGAATACTACCTGAACAAAAATTTTGTTGATTCCTTATTTTTTAGATGTTGTCTAAAACTTAATATTTTTTTTCTTACCAAATTACCTACCTAGAAGTGATATTTCCGTCATAGTTCAGCTATTCCAGAATTTAACAGCAAATAAAATTTTTTTTAAATATGGATAATTATTTTAAAATGTTGTACTGTCGAGTTGAATAGGTAATAAGGCAGCATACACACTTTCATATGCATTTAGTTAAGCTGGTAATCTAAAATTATGACATACAAAATCTAAACACATGTACACTTAAAATTTATTTATTAGTATGGATTGAGCTGGTTCTCTTTTTTAGTTAACAACATAGCCTGGGTATACTATAAATAATTATTTTCATATAATTTAACATTAAAATACAGTTCATTAAATAAATAATAGTTTATTATATCATATGATGTTATTTTAAATCACAAATTAATTATCAATAGTTTTTATAATAAACTTCAATGTTCTTTTTCATAATACTTTCTACTAATTAAACCAAATTTAGTAATTGCGTAAGGTTTGCCTTGTATTGCTAAGGTCAAGCAAAATAGTTTGGAATAATCAAACCATAACAGAAATATATGAGAGTATAAAAAGTTAATTATAGAAAATTATCCATTATTTGATTTTTAAATATTCTTAAAAAAATAAATCTATTAAATGCAATAATAAGAGTACTGCCACCTGCCGGTAAGGTTTTGAAACTTTGAACGCCATCTATCGAGGGAGGAAGTAATATTAGGTATAACCAAAAAAAGTCACTGAGTTCTATGTCATCTTATCTGTTATTCTATATTATCAAATTTAATCTTCGGGACTTTGAAGGTGTATGAAAAAATGGAATGGTAATCTTAAATTGGTTACATATCAATTAAAATTTCATACGTTTTTTACTGTAATCGTCTAAGTTCGTGTAAAACTTCTTGATCGTTGATCGTTCAAAGTCCATCGTTGACGATCGACAACCAACACATATAGTCCATGGTTGAACCAGTTCACCGTTTAAGGATAAAGTTAAACTAGTCTGATCGTTATAAAAAGAAAAGTTCTTTCAATAAATTTAACTACATAAGTCAGCTTGTTTTCATATCTATTAAGAATTAATAATTATTTTCTGAGTTCCTTCATTGCACTAGTTCATTTTTTTACTTATTCTTATTTTGAAAATGTCAAAAGGTAGGTCGAATGAATGTATTTTTAATTAAAGTTTCAATTGGTAATCTTATCTACTTATCCTAATTTGAAATAAAATCTAAAATATTGTTTAATTTATTTTGTAATAATATGTTTAATATTTTGAAATGTATGCGAAAATTTATTTTAATTTTCTTGTCAAGAAAAGCGGTTCTATGTTCTGTAATAAGTTGGCACTTATTAATAAAATTGTCTGTTAAGGGTTGCAAGTATATCAGTCAATCTGATTGGTTGATTCATGGTTGTTTTGTTTTGTTTTCTTAAAATTATTTTGTTCGTAGTTTGATTTTTAACAATTCTATTTAAACCTATTATTGAATCTGGACATTGTATTGTAAGAGGTAGTGTACGCTTAGTCCAAGTTGGGATCATCAAATTATGCACAGAGCGTTAACAGTTTTCCATTCATAAATCTTAGTACGTTTGTAATATTTACGTATGTTTTTGGATAAGAAACGGGACACGCCTATAAATGTTACCACTCAAATTTGGAATAAGCTTACGGTCAGTCGGCCTGTAATACGAGAAGTAGATTAAGTATTTTGTCTTTTAGGTCGAAAAAAAGTTAAATTTAATATAAATTATATTATGTAGCTACAATATAATTTAGTTCATTCATAGAGAGATGTAACTTGAAGTAGTCTTGAAGTTATAGTCAAACAACACAGTTAGACTCACACTGACGGTGGAGCCTTCGAAAACGTCATCTCTGAGATAACTTGAGTTTTGTTTGTTCACATTAAAGATGTTTCTGTTCCATTAAACTGCTTTTAAGTAACATAATATATTACACCATCTTATTCATATACCTTTATCTCTTTTAAAGATAGTTGTTACAAAAATAAGTGATATCATTATTTATTACTTGTATTAGCATTATGAGAATTTTTATATCTTAATTACAGTATCAAAATTACCCCGACTTCTCCTCTACAAGAGAAATGCCAGTCCACCATCCAGTGCTGTCATGATACTTGGGAGATATGTTTGGGATTAAAATTTGAGTATCGGGAACCTGATTTAATCAAACTGGAACATCGAACTCCAGAATTTAAAAAGGTGTGTATATACTATATAACAAGTAAATAAATATCAAAATTAGTTATAATCCTCCTATTAATGATTTACACCAATATTCCCTAAATAGCTTAGATTATAATTTGATTGGTTGCATTTAATCTGATCACCATTTCTTAATAAAAAATTTCAGATAAAACCCAATGGCAACTATCCCAGTACTTCAAGATGGAGATTTAACAATATGTGAAAGGTAATGAAATCAATAAAGGATTGCTTAAAAATTCATGCTATATAATGTATTTCTGCATTAAAAACAGATATATAAGATCAGCGCCGCATGTAATAAACTTGTCAATAACACAAAAACAAACCATTTCAAAGAAATTAAATAGTTATATAATGTATACAGTTGTTTTCATATTAAAATATTAAAATACTTAAAACTCATGAATACCACTATTATAGTGAACAAATCAATACTAATTATATTGCATACCATTATAATAAGAGAATATTTAAAATATTTTTTTTTTACACATAAAATTTCTACTGTGCCTAATAAATTGTTTTTGTTTTCAGCCATGCAATTCTGAAAATACCTAGTAAATAAATATGGTGGTGACAAATCTGAGAAGCTTTATCCAACTGACTTGAGTGTTCGAGCTAACATTGATCAGCTAATGTTCTATGATGCTGGAGCCTTGTTTGTTAGGCTTAAGGTTGTCGCGGTAAGTAATAATTACTTATATATATATCCCTACTAATATATTAAATGCGAAAGTAACTCTGGCTGTCTGTCTGTCTGTCCTGTTACGCTTTCACCGCTAAACCACTGAACTGATTTTAATGAAATTTGGTACAGAGATAGAGTTGATCTTGAGAAAGAACATAGGATAGTTTTTTATCCCAGACTCTTGAAAAGTTCTCTTGGAAACTCGATTTTAACCGAATTCCTCATCTATATTTCGCTATGTATTAACATATTAATATTTTCTTTAGTAATAATCTATATTTGATTTTATAACTCCTATGTTTTTTATCAACAGCTACCAACAATGCTTCAAGGCTTAAAAGGTCCAACCGAAGAGCAAATTGCAGATATTGATGAAGGTTTATACAGTACTTGAGTCATATTTAAATAAACACTCATATATAGCAACTGATCATTTAACTATTGCTGATTTATCCCTTGGCACAACCACTACAGCAATGCAGGCAATACACAAGCTGGATAAAAATAGGTAAAAAAATGTGATGTCTATTTAAAGAAATGTGATGTCTATTTTTTGAAATCTATTAATGATAATATATCGGCAGACCCTGGCTAAAGCTGGGAGGTTGCCAGGAAGAAGAAGAATATTTAGGATTCTTCACAATACATTTTCTTTCTCCTTTTTTAAGGTTTCCTTTAAGTGCAGAATGGCTCGAACGACTAAAGGGTGAAGAGTCTTTCAAAAAAAATTAATGAAAATAGTGTAAAGGAATTATCGACAATATTGAACGTATTATGGAAGAAAAATAAGGAGCGAGCATAACTTTTAATAGTATATACTATTTTTTGTAAATGATATTTACTAATAAAAATGTTTTTTTTTTTTTTTTTTATTGAGTTTGTTATCCTGATTACATTCGATTCAACGCCCTCTAGTGTCAAGCTTAAAAACTGTTTTGCTAGAATATCTTCCTAAATATCATTGACAATAATTGTTAGTGAAAAATTATTTATATATTAAATATTTTATTAACGATCAGGTTAATTAATTTAAATTTAGTTTTGCAAATTTTATAATGTTTTATTTTCTATACATGTGTATTTTTTTTTTGATGGCAACACTGACAACGCCATCTGGTTCCATTAAGCCAAACATAATGACCCTAAGTGTCAAGTGACGTACGGCGTGCAACTTTCGAACTTGAAACAACGGAATAGTGACATTCGTCAGTAGTGGAATTTGAATAGTATCGGCCCTCGAGCCTGCAACGGGGCACTAGCGCCAGAAACGTGTACGGCGAAGTGCGGTCGACTCGTCGATGCGCAGCTGTCCTATCGCGTTTGTCAATTTAAAGTTTTCTCGAAACGCGTGTGTAAATAAACATAATTGTCTTATTACTTTTCGTTATGAAAATGAAGTGAAACAAATGTTTATTATTGAATCGTGTACATTTTAGTGAAGCTGGAGCCTTCGAAACCGTAACCGCTTCTCGCAATGACAAGGGAGAGCATTCAGTTACCTTTTAAGAAAAAACGGAGGCACATAAAATGTTTCTTTTGGTTTAATAAATGCTTTTTATAACGTATAAGTGTATTCGTTAAATATAAGGACTACTGTGTTCCGATTTGTGACACTTTGGAGCTTAATATTGTTCCGGATCGGTCGTTAGTCGCAGCACGTTTTAAAATGAGTCTTCATACAGCTTTTGATCGAAATTGACTACAAAACGGCGAGTGATGGTCTGCTGGAACTTTCCGAGGAGCAGCTCCGCAGCATCATGCGCACGGAACCCCCATCACAGATGTCTACCACGTCGAACAGACACCGTTTGCAAGGTAAATAGCAAAAGTTTTGGCAAACTTTACTTACTTCTCAACTAGTGCGAACTAAGGTTGAAGTTCCTTCACAATGTTGTATACCGTGGTAATTACCCCAGGGATTAAGTCTAGGAAATATTTTATCAAGTTTGTCGTCTTTATAACATGATAATAAAATTGATAAGAGTAAAGATAATTTATCATGATATTTTTGCATATATTTTTATAGTACAGGTAGATATTATTTACAAAGGTTTGATATTTGACTTAATATTAACACATGGAATAATTCTTGACCAATGTCAGTGCTGAATGATCATTAGTTTGTATGAGTAACACACACATAGACTAGTGTAGAATGGCCTTTATATGACTATGCTATAAAGAAGTGTTGTACTTGTTTTTTACTGGTGCTATAATACTATCAGGTTTGATAAAGATGAGTGATGAGATTTCACCACCTTGATAATTGGTGATAAGGCTGTAAATTTTACCTATAACAGATTATTTGCAGTTTTAATTGCATTTAATTAAAATTATATAACAAGAATACTTTTGATATATCTTTAAAATCACTATGAAGGAATTGCATACAATTTTCTGAACATATCCTGCCGTTTATAATGTATATATTTAATTTTTATATGTATTTGCTAGTACCAGTATAGGTTTTAATTGAATCCACATCCGAAGTACTCTTGACATAAGTATGAGCTTCAAATTAAATGTGCGGTAGGAAACTAATTAGTGAGTCGGTTTCTTAGGATTTAATTAGAATATTAATACTAATTATAAACATTAATTTATTTAATAACTACTCGGTACTTTACAGGAATTCTGAAATCTGTTCCACTTAATGTATGCTAATAGTGAGAATGAATAAAATGTTGATAGTACTTTTATTAATGCTAGAAATTTTTTTTTGTCAATAAAATATATTAAGAACTATTGATGGGAAGTATTAATAGGATTTTGGAGTATTTTGAATGAAAAAAAGTTTATTTTTTTCATGAATTATTTTTAATGAAACCTTGATATAATGTCATATGTAAGTGTGTCGTTGGCTGCGCGGCTCATGTTCTGTCGCCAGCCTCCGACGTGTCCAACAACTTTTCCCGTCCTTTCTGCTTTTCGTATCAATTGACACGACTCTGCCATCCTATTAAACTTATTACTTACGGTAGTCGCGTTGATATCCACTGAATTCAAAATTAAATTAGATCAATTCAGTTTAGTTCATTATGAATTTTAATACGTATATAGACGTCGGGTTTATTTCTTTTCTTTAATCTTAATGGCTGCTGTCAATATGTAATAATTATTTCTGTCGTAGATCATGAGAAACGTATTTAAATCGAAATTTTCTTTATTAATCGACCGGATTGATTATACGGGTTACACGAAATGAAAGTGAGACCGGACGATAAATCTAGAAATAGAGTTGTTACTAGATTGCATCGAATAATCGTTTGTAAATCTATCCGAGAGGAAACAATAATATTAGGTTTCTAATACACTTGGGCTTATTTATGGCACCAGTTCCGTGGTGAAATTAAGCTTTTTTACGACTAAGAATATAATACGCGATTATTTTAATAGACTAATATGTAATATGTCGTTATATTTATAAATGTAGACGCACAATATGTTGATAATAACAAAAGTACTACATTTAAGTAGTTTGATTAACATGCTACTTAACTATTTGTAAGAATTTGTTGATAATATTATCATAGCATATCTATAAAAGTTATTGCGTTGTATTTTTAATAAACAATTTGATAAAATGAAAAGGTTTTTTGATGGAAAAATGTAAAACTACACGTATTTCAATAATCTTTAGTAATTTTTATATTCCAAATACTTAAATTTAAATACTCATTTGATATTTAGAAAATAATTTTAATGTTTATATCATTTGGACTAAGAATCAATTTATTAGATTAGGGTTTGTCTATTAAAATTTGATCGTAATTGAATGTTATTAAAGTTTGTAGTGTTAGTTATCAAATTATTGTTCAATTATGTTTTTTTTACCTTTTTAAGTATGAGACTTTAAATTTACGTCCTAATTACGTTTGGATTGACAATTTAATTCAAATCATAATAGCTGTTAAAACATTTGTAACACGATGTTTCCGTTCCTGTATCGAAAGGAGTTTTTCTGTTAGATTTTGAAAATATAATATTATTATTCTATTTATTAATGCATTCTTAATTTCACTGGTTTAAGTAGTTTTCAGTATCAATTAACAACGTTTTAATAAACTTCATAGAGTAATAAAACGCTTATTTAATCTATTTCATCGGTGTATGCTAAGTATTATAGGTGCTTAAATATGTTCAAGATGAGAAACATAAATAGATTTATATATAGGGCCACGAATTTATGAGTGATGGTTAGATAGAAAAAATAATAAGGGATTTCATACATAGAATGGTTTTGTAAATTAAACATACAAAAGAAGAGTCGAAATATTTTCTGTTTGTTATGAGTTGTTTAATGGTGCAAAGGAATGGGAACCCGACCCAGTTAGTTTTCATAGCGTTAAATAATACTATTAGGAATGTTTTTACATAATAAATCAACGTCCCGTTTTCAAAAAACACGGTCACCCCGTTTATTTGGGGCGAATATCGATTTTTATTTACCATTCGTGATGAACGTCAGCTGTTCTTGTGTTTACAAAGGATTTATTTGGACGTGTAATTTGAACATATTGTTGTTACAGATTTTGTTTTCAATGAACTAATTGTATACATTTAAGTCCTATTATATTAATGATTTTTATATATGAAGTAACAAATAAATAATGTGATCGTAATTTGCACAATGATTGAAGTTAGTTTACTCTAAACATATCAATTATTGAATATTTTGCTAACGATTTGGTTAATTTGAGCACACAATGACGTCTTTAAACGTACATTAAGTGTAAATGTTCCAGCAACAAGCTATCAGCTGTTCAATTGACATAATTGTATATGTAGGTCGTTAACTTATCACACATTTAACTGTAAAAAACGAATGTAACTTTATTTAATACTATATAATTAGCTTAATTTATTAATAGAATTAGTTAATTTTTAATTCTATGACGCAAAAAAGCTTAATTTTATAATCATTCATCATATATATGATCTCTTTTTTCTTATAATCGTCCACTGATCGTGGTAGCGTGTTCCAACACTTACATTTTTCATTTTACTTTGCTTCATTGATCTTTACCGATGAGCGTGTAAATTATTGCACTATTATTCTATTATTTTTCAATAGTATATAGTATGAAATGTGCATGATCATTTACAATACAAACACATAGACATCGATATGCATATAATGGTGCTTCAGACAGCAAATGCTCGTCTATTTCGGTTAGCCGTGACCTTGACCTCGGCCACGTCATCGTTGCGACATTTCAGGAAGCAACTCCACACAATAAGCAATTAAGCAATCTCGTTTAAGTCAAGTTCGTAACAGTCCCTTGACGTGAACATTTACCCGAACATGTGCTACTGTGATTGACTTTTAATACCATATTCAAAATTGTTTTATTGAGCACCTTTTTTTTTAAGAATTCATTTTATTTGCGGAGGTTATACAAGTAAGGCTAACAGCGATGCAAAGAGGTTATAAAAACTCTTGTGTGTTGATGGTACTTTATGCGTTACGTGTTTTATTTATAAGGTATGCGTCTTTTTGTTGCTATCCAAGGCTAGCTTTTTTATCCGCTTCAATCTATGCAATGACTGTAAATATGTACAGCCGATCACAAAGAAACGTCTATTTAGGTGTAATAGAAAAGGTACATAGTTTATAGGGGCATCAAGTTCGTATTGTTGCCCTGGGCGTACTTTTTCCCGGGAGCCAATAACAGTTTTTGCTAAGCGGCGATCAGATGTAATCTGTGACTTTCTACGGCTGGCCAGAAGCGGTTTCACTTTCATCCATTACGGAATGCGGCCGAACCTCCGACCCGCGTCTGCGTACAACACCGCCGACCCTGCCACATGTCCCTTAACCTTTTGACGTCATATTATTATCATTTCATACACACATATTTGACATGCCAGCTGCGTATTCCTCAAATCATGAATATGTTTAGTTCTATGTAAAATTCCACAGTGCTTCATATTGATTGGACTCGCGTTCCAAATACCCGAGTAACATTCCACGACAAGTATTCGCGCTAATATCTTATTCGTGTCATTAGTGCGAAATGTCAGCAGTTTGGCAGCGGCAGGGGCGACGTCGGCCCCAACGTTCTCCTGCGGCCGATGCACCGCCCATCGCCCGGCATCAACCATCTAAATTAGTGATCGTTGCATCACGCATCACTTTCAGTTTTGTTTGTCACGATTCTATTTTGAATAATGTCGATTATTAGGACTCCAAATTTAGCGTCACCCATCGCCCGAAGCCCGACGGCCGCCGCTACCAGCCTCACTCTTGGACGGATGACTAATCGCACCGGCACGAGGAAACTTCCACATTAATTTAGGTTCTATATCCGAACTCGTATTTCCTATTTAAATACGTTCGTGTCTAAAACAGGATACAATAAGGTTAGACGAGTTTCAAAGTCAGTGTGCGACTGTTGACTATGCATAGGATCTCGGGCTCGCAGTTATCTTGACTTTGCGGAAAGTAACCTGATACATGCCTAGTATGTAGCGACTAGCAACAAGACCGAGGTCGCTTCGACCCTACGAGTGATAGATAACTTTTATCGACGATCGTTTTATTTAATTCATTCGTTATAAATAAACGAATTAATGGTATAGGATGACGGTTCCTACCATTAACGTCGCTGTGAGAGTTTCATAGCACATGTACAGTTGTTAGCTAGGAGGTTCCGCTCCACGGATTCCCTGGAATGGACAGCGGTCATGCCGTTTGGTCGCAAGGCCGCCTGCGCGAATGTTAACCCGTGATAACGCGGGCAGGTTGTGACACGTGGGCGAGGCTCGATCGAGAACAACGCTCCTCTAACGAAACGTGTACTGGAATGCGGACTACCGATACTGTTACAACACACACTGCAACAGGCCAATGTCAACATGGCTCCCGTGTTGACTTCTGATTGTCTCTATGTTTAATGTGCTAGATGCCTGCATCTCATATTCGCGTCGCGTTCGTGTAGGCGACTAGATTTTCCAACGCCCGTTGGGCTTGTCGCATAATGTAGATACCTCGTGCCGCCTAGCGAAAGTCTAGCCGGCCTTCGGGGCCTAGATATGAGCGGTTATAGATACAGCATATCAAAAACTGGAATGTATATCTGTTTAAATTGATGTTTTTACACCAATACTTTTTTTTCTATAAAATAAAATTTTTGCACTTGGGATATATAAATATGACTTTAAAAATAGCATCATGAGATCCGTTCCTAGATTGTATGAAATGGAAATATCTCTACGTCTATGGTTTTAAAACAAATATTCAAAGTATTCCGGGCAACAGATTTTATCATTCTTAAACCAATGTCGAGTTATTGTATGCGATGGTATCTTGTAGTGGTGTCCTTTACACTATTTGCTCTTATTGTCGGTGCATTCTATGCAATAAATACATTGATTTCTGTTACTAAACATCTAATCTATTGCCCAACGTCCTAGATTCGTGTCAGATGTATGTTAATCATTGTTGTTTTTGGTTTATTGAAATGTTTTTGCGACACGTCAATATCTACACCGGTATAAGATCATTTAAATATGATTCATGAAATAAATTATAAAATTATGTAACTCTTGAATTGGATTTACCAGAACACCGAAATTCGGTCACTACTTATCCGCTTTTAAGTATAATTTATTGTTTTATTTGAGTTATAATACGTCCATTAAATTTTTATCCGTCATTTTATGAATAATTTATAATTGTGAAGTTATTCATTACTGTCACCGTATGATATCACGTACCGAGTGTTGTTTGTCTGGCTATATCTTTATCACCGTCGCAAATTCAATATAAAGTTATAAGTGTCCGTATTGAGTGGCGGAGGGGCCAAGCTGTGCTAATATTGACGTGTCTCAATTTCTTTGTTTGAACACTTGATGGATGCGGTCTGCTGTCGTTTGATGTCGATTCAGTTCCCTAACCTTGAGAGGTCATTGACACGAATCTGGCTCCCTAGATCACGGTTCTAATTGCGTGTTTCCGGAGTATTTTGATCCACACAGGACCTAGGACATCGTGGAGCACGTGCATCCTGACTGTTTATGCGACCGACTATATTTAACTCTGTATTCTCACCCCAATAAAAACGAACACGTGCCGACTGAAGTCCATAAACACAAATAGACAGAAGACAAAAGTATTTAGTGTGTTCGTATATTATAATGTGATTGATTTAAGTATTGAACGCTAGTCGATGTAGAGGAGTATATCAAGAGGAGCATTATTCCAACATTCCATCGGGACGATTTATCTCACGTCGGCTGGCCCTGCGTAAATATAATTAGATATGCTATTTATCAGCTCAGCGGAAGGGCGCTCACTATCGCCGCTGTAAATCTTCTAGGTCTCCGGATGGCTCAATTTAGCGAAGAAATGCTTTATATGAGAAATGATAGGCGAAGACTTTAGCCCGATCAAATTTATCGCAACGCGATGGCTTATTTACTCAGCAGAGCTCCAGATATGCTGGTATTTTAACTATCTGATATAATAATGATGCATATCAAAAGCATGAATTTCTAATGACGTCTAATAAATACTTAAGTTCCAATGTTTCGAAAATTTTATAGAGTACGTGTGTATTGTACCCAATATACTTTATTAACATCTATTGTAACCCAATGAGTAATAGAACTGCACATCAATCAGTTTTGTCACTGCTACTCTAGTGAAAAGTGAGTTTTTAAATTAAGTAAAAAGTTTTCCATCACCTTATACGTATGCTCATTACGCTAAGAATTATAAGGAGAAATCACAGAATATGGGTAATGTTTTCTTATATTCTAGTATGACCAGCGGGCCAGGGGTGGCCACCTGCTGGAACACTTGATTAGCATACACCATGCACAATAGCGCTCCGCCCAAACACAACGCGGTCCAAGTCAGTAGATAATGAAATATGCAAGAATTGCCACTTTTAATTTTGCTTTTTTATTATCTGATAGTAATGAGATAAGAAACTTCTAGAATAACGTTGAAAAACATACGAGTATGTACGTATATTTGTATATTGAATAATCCTATTAGATAAAAAGCAATATTTTTGGAGCGTGTTTATTCAAAGTTATAACAAACGTCACGTAATGTCAAGACTCGGGTGTTAGTAAAATATATGTATATGTATTTTTGTATAATACTGATTGTACCACGCGCCATAATTATAGCCCTTATTGTATGACATGGGGGTACGTCTATGAATATTGAATGGGCGTCCACAACCGTGACCTTTATTTTGGCCTCTCGCCGGCTATTGTTCTTAAACCACCCTAGTATTGCACAATTTATCTTACTACAGTTTAACCTCATGAAAATATTATAAATTTGGTTTAAATAAATGATCCTTAACATCTTAGAACCAATCAATTAATTATAAATATTCATTATGTTTTTTTTTACGGATTATCTCATTCTTCTTAAGCATCATATTTTTTGCTGTCACATTTTTTTGCGTCCTAGTGTCGTCGTGTATATCGAATGTCGATCTCTTGTCCTTTGTTCTGTCTCGAACAGTCAAACGTTTCGGACAAAAAGTGTTCCGAGACACTTTGTTTTATTGACAGCTGATCAAAATGATTCCAACCCTATGAAACTGATGTATAATTGTCGTGTGAGGTAATATTAAATAACATATTCTCTCGATGACTAATCCGCGTTGGAATAGGTGTGTGTACGAATTCTGATGAGGAGTTCATCGACTCGGGCGAACTTAAAGTGATCTCATAGATTGAACGTGAGGTTTTTAGTCTGAGATGACTATCAGGTACAGCGAAATATTACTTAGGTGTTAATAATAATATAGGCCTTTTATGATCAAAATAGTGTCAGCTTTTTCTTGGCTTTCTTTATTGTTTTCTCCACACATACGTATATTATAAATATAATAATAATATAATTTCACGCTCAGTATAACTTAAGTTGATATTCATGTGTTTATTAAGTAACTAAATATCCATTAATATTCTATAGCTTAACCGAGAATAGCAAAGGTCGTTGATATTCGCCATTGCAGATTCGATTTCCTGGATACCTGATTAGTGGAATATTCATTTCGTACCCAATATAACGGTATTGAAACGATTACGCTACCGGATATTACATTCAATTGAGGACTTGCCCTGATTATATTATGTTGGACAGAAATGGTGTTTATCATGCGTCCGCAGTAAACGTTCTCTGAATACATTTTTTAATAGTATTCGATCCAATAGAAGCTATATTGATATGTTTAATATACAAGTAGCTGCAGTTGGGAACACGTGTCCACATGTCTTAAATGTTTTGTTTGATTTTGGGTGCAATGATAACAATGTGTTATTATGTATGGCAGCGTGCTCCAAATGGAGTGTGCCGTACACACAGACAGCTGCGCGTTAGATTCACAACACAAACGGAAACCATCAATTTAGATAGTGGCTAAGATTGCCGCCGCAAAGTTTCTGGTAGGATGCAACTATTACTTGGAGGAAGATTTGATTTATGACATTTAATGTACTCTGGTAGTGTTTTAGATATTCGTATCCTGCATCGATTAATGTCTGTTTTGACCTTAATTAATGTAACTTTTACATTTCATATAGAGAAAATGAAGAGCGAATAAGATTTTGTTTGTAATAAAGCGGATTTATTAGTTCATATTATCAGTCAATAATACAAAAAAAAAACAATTCGGACATTGACATTATTTTGTAGATATATAAATATGTATTGAAATAAATTATTAGTGATGGCACTCATGACACTCTAACCAGTATTTTCAGTCATGCCGTCCGTGTATTTCAGATAACTTTTCCTGTTCCACAATAAATAACTCAGCCGTTGTTATTATGTTAGTTAGTTGGTTCGTCATACTGCTTTCATGAATCAATATTGTCGTATCGGAATACTTTCTCGCTTCAAAGCGAGTGGAGCGTTGCCGAAGTTATTGTTTATGAAAAGCGGGTCAGAAGAAAGCGTCTGGTGGGGCGGAGGCGGCTGGTCAGGCTGAGGCCGTCCCTGGCGCACAAACAGACCGACGGTGAATCGTGAACCCCGGATAGAATCACTGAATGGTACCGTAACAATGATCCCTTTTTGTTCGGTTTCCGTAAATGACCGCTGTTTTCACAGATTTCTCTTTTCGCAGTTTCGCGCTAATCGGCTCGATACAAAATCGATCATTGAATCGGAATTCGCATTGATGTAATTAATATTTATAAAATGTTTTGTTTCATACATGACGAATGGAACAGTAATTTTTTTCGCTCGACTTGAAAACATTTCAATTTCATTTAAGTTTCAATGAAGTCAATTAATGAGAAAAATTGCAGAATTGTTTTTTTAAAACAAACATCTGTTCTTCTACATTAAAGTGTACAAACATAAAAGCGTATTTATGTTAGAATTGAAACATTAAGACGAACTTGTGTTGATAAGGGAATGTGAGTTTGAAGTTAACTTCTCAATGCGAATGAAAGGTCCATCGACGTCATTATTTTGTTGTTAATCACGCGTATATTGTTGTGTGTGTATGTGTGTGTGCGCGTGTGTGTGTGTGTGCACATCGAATCAGGAATGCGTTTGCGCAGCATGCGCCCGGTGCTCGAGTGTCATGCCATTTGTCTGCGGATCGCTCTTTGTTTAAGTGTCTGTAGCAAGGTCGCTGTTATTGCAAAATAATTTTAATTGTTATCATTTTTCGTATTCATTTTGTTATTCAAAAAATAATAAGATAAGAATTAAGTATCTAGATAATGGTATCTCTTGTGTTTAGTAAATCCTTGAACTTTTCTTTTATTATTTTATGTATTTTTTTTAATGCGATATTCTTGATGAGTTTTGTCTAAATGCTCACAGTTTAATAATTCTACGAGATTTATGGTTTTATAGTTGAATGCGACGGATAAT